TCTAAGTATGATGATAGAGACATATGAAGCCAAGTTTGTTCTTTAGCCTAAGCTCATAAGCCAGGTAGCAGTAGCACACTCCTTTAATCCCAGGTCTGGAGAGGCAGAGTCAGGTGGATCTCTGAATTTGACAGCAGCCTGGTCTACAGTAAGAGTGCCAGGACAGCCAGAGCTACACAGAGAAACCATATCCCAAAACATAAAGTAAAATAAAAATAAAAAATAATTTGAGTTTCAGCAATACCATATAATTTTGTCAGGGACTATTATAGGATGAAATATTTAGTATTAACATTGCCCTCAACCAGCTTCCTTCTAGACCTCTGTCTCCTCATTAATGGAAATATCAGAATATTCAGTTTTATCACTTTTTGCTGTGAATTTTTTTTCTTTCCTATGTCTAAGTCAGATCTTCAACTGTGATTTAGTTATTAATTCACTGTGGAGGAAATAATTAAATCAAGATTTTTTTATTTTAGATGGTTATGGAGATAAAATATTATTTAATTGCATTACATCAAATCAGTTAACCTAAAGCAAAAATACTTATTTTTTTACATTTTAAATAAAAAGATTGCCAACTGACAAATAAAATTGTTACAGAATTACACATTACCATGAATTATAAATTATTAATGTTCTCAAAGAGTTTTCTTTTTTAATCAGTTTAATTACTAGCTAACAGTTTGATTGTCTGGGCAGTTTACAAGTTTTTGCTGAGCTTTTAGAATTATGAGTCCTACATTTTGGCAGCTGTTTCTTGCCTGGTGCACACTAGTCACCTGATTCTATGTGCTGACCCTTGGACCCTTAGGTTTTTTGTTCACATTATATCAACAAGTACATGGTAATGTCCTATTGGTCTGTACTAATGCCACCATATTGAGTGTGGTATAGTGTATTTCTTCTTTAAAACATTTTTATTTTATTCTGAGAAGAAACTGTCTTCCGTCCTCTCCACACACCTCCTCATCTTGAAGTGTGCAGGCCCCTGCAGGCCGTACTCACTTCATGCCCCAGTAACTTTTCCACAGTCTTTCTGTTCCGCTTATACATACTCACCAAAACCCAAACTCGTGTCTACAGAGGAACACAGACATCACATAAATACTGGGAATCTCTAATCCTTTCAGTCCATCACCCAGAAAACTGCTCTCGTTTTATACTAGTAAATTCATAACTTGCCTATCTTTTCTCTTTCCTCTATCCAGTTTCAGAGAAGTATCTCCTCTTAAATATGGTTTCTCTGCTGCTTAACCAATGTTTTCTCTTATTTTTACTAAAAGATGCAGTGCTTCTTTGCAGTAAAATGGTTTTGGTGTTCTCCAAAAGATAGGAAACACAACTTTTTCCCTGTACTGTTAAGAACTCACAAGGAACATCTATTCTAAAAATGTGCCTAAGTGGAATCAGTATTAATCCCTCGAGCACAAATTGACTTTGGGAGCCCATTTACTATGGAAGTATATACAGGGGAGAGCCTACGTCCTGACCCAAATAATTTCTCAGACTTTGATGATCTCTCATGGGAAGCTTCACCCTCCCTGGGGAGTGAATGGGGAAGGGGTGGAATGTGGGTCAGTGGGGGAGGGCATGGGATGACAGGGGAGAGGGAACTGGGATTGGTATGTAAAATAAGATTTTTTTTTTTTTTTTTTTAAAAATCTGCCTAAAAAGAGAAGAAAGAGTACAGGAGATAAGTAAGCACACCTCAAAACTCATCCTGGCACAAAGATAGGGATGGAGGGGAGGAGGAGGAAGAGTTAGATATTGAGAGGCAAGGATGGAGAGAAAAATGGAAGTAGAGGAAACCTGGATGAAAGACATTTTCCCTAGGACCTAATTGATTCCAGTGGGGAGGGCTGATAATGCGGACAGTTCTATATCCTTATCTACTGTGGTTTGCATTATACTATTTGTGTTTTATTTGTTCTCTCCCATGTTTTCCTCTCCTTTTCCTTTGTTTAGAAATACACAGGAGGAGTTGTATCAGGTCACACAGCAGCACTGGGGTCATTGCAGTTGCTGGTATCATCTTAAGTTGTTATTTCTTGCCTGCCTTTTTTTCTTTTCTTTTTTTTTCTTTTTCTTCCTTCTTCTTCTTCTTTTTTTTTTTTCTTTTTCTTTTTTTCTAAAACAACTGTGTATTTCCACTCTCTCATTCTCCTTCCCCGAGTTTTCATTAGACCAGGCAGGATAACTCTTATGCTTGGTAAACTGAAAAGTCGCTTTCATTTCTTCTCAGGAGAAACTGCTGTAGCTCATAGAACTAAAATGGTGTAGTCAGGGCTATGCAGCTAATAAGTGAATTATCCAGAACAGATTCAGTATCAATAGTAAGTTTGATTTTTTTTTTTAAATTAAGTAAATTACAGCAGGTAACATGAGATTACATTGTGACATGCTATACAGGAAGTTTATAGAAAGGGTCTTTTGAAATGTTCTTATTGATTTGTTTTATAAATTCTAAGGAGGAGGTGCATCCATTTCTTACTTTACTATCAACTTGTAAGATGAAAAGTGTGGCCTAATGTCATATTAACTATCCAGGAGAAAAGAATGCAGATTATAATTTTAAAAGTGATGGCTCAGGTCACCCATTCACCCAGAACATGTGTACTGTTCATGTCTTCTTTCAGAAATACCATTTATTGCACACTTCATGCTTGCTGTGTTACATTTGTCCAAATAATTTTTTTTCTCATGAAGTATATCTCCAAGAACATAATCATGATATGTTTAAAAAATCATGTAAATTCTAATCATCATCTCAAATATTCTAGAATATTTTTAAACAAGGAGACTTTCCCTTTTTAAAAACTGGTTAAGATTTATTTGGCTTGGGAAAGTTAATCATTTGGAAATTGTTTATTTAAATCTAGTATTCCAGCAGTATTTGATGTTGATACCATATGAGCTTTGCCTGGGGAAAGTTCTTTGTTTAAATTATTCTGAACTCATTACTTATAACACAGATAAAAATGGGTAGAAAATATGTAACTCTGCAGATTTTTCCTTTTCACTAAGTGCATGAATGTATACACTGAGAAATCAAAGTCCTTGATTATGAGATTTGCATATGTATTTCTTCTTTAAAATATTAGTTTGTTTATATTTCATGCGCATGTGTATTTTGTTTGCATGTATGTCTGTGCACAGTGCATATGTATGATGCCTGCAGAGGTCAAAGAAAGCTTTGGATTCTCTGGAACTGGAGTTACAGATGATTGTGAGCTTCCAAGTGGATACTGTAAACTGAAATAGGATCCACTTAAAGAGTAAACAGTGCTCTTGACCAGTGAGCCATCTCTACAGCCCCTCAAACATGAATTTTTTAAAATGTGAAATTACTGTTGAGAGTGTTATAAAATATATAACCATGATTTTTTTTTTTTGTGCCAATGCTGATAGAAATTTTAAGGTTAAGTTCTGAAATTTTTTTAATGCTGGGGTTAGGGAAATGGCTAACTGTAAGTACAAGTTACCATACATGTATGAGAGTCAGATTTCAAAGCCCCAGAATCCACATACAGGCAGGCACATGTAATCCCCCCATGTGTGTATACATGCATACAGATATGTCATATAGAAACATATATGATATATACATCACATAAAAATACACAAGTAAAATATTTATGTTAATGCTGCTTGTACATATTTTTACTATGTTTAATTCACTCTGTTTTATGGCTAACCTCTTTCTACTTTAGTAAGATTTCCTCTAGACTAAATAGATGTTAATGTTCAAGGAGCACATTTTTGTTCATTTCAAGAATTTCCCCTCCTGTGAAGTTTGTACATACATATGTACAAACAAGTGTTTTAACCTTGGTCAATAATCTTTGGCCATATCTCACTGTATCCAACATTACTACATTGTGTTTATATTACCAGTGACTTTATTGAAATAGCACATATAGACTAGACACATGATTTTGGTTGGGAGGATATTCAGAGTCTTCCCTAAGTACCAAATCAATCTTAACCACTTAATTTGTACACTGTTTCTTATTGTCCAAATCTGGTGTTTTGCTTAACTATAATTTTAAATTTCTCTTTACAATGTCACCAAGTAAGATAACTAAGAAGACTGAGATCTAGTTCCTACATTGTATGACTGGAAAGATATATTCTATTGTTCTGGCAAAAATTTTGGCAAATTTTGCAATCTACAAAGAGTTGTGGTTTTGTGAGAAATAATATCCAATTAGGCAGGACTTTTTTATTTCTTGAGACTGTAATATAATACAATTATTTCCTCCTTTTATCTCCCTTCAAACACTGCAATAGATTTTTCTCTCTCAAATTCCTGGCTTCCATTTTTTATTATATGACTATAACCTTCTCAGTCTGTAGAGTTCTTGTACATCTTTTATCTTTTATTCTAATTGCTTTTAAACACTGGAGACATTTAATGGTATTACAATTGTGTTACTTTGGTGGTTTTTGCAAAGATATATACATAATTTAATGACAAGCTTAGCATTGGCCTCAGAGACTTTTTTTTGTCTGTATTTGTTTATTTTTCATTTTTTAGATTGTATTTTATTTGTTCTGTGACTGCTTTTAGGAATACCCATTCTCATTCCCACCTTCATGAATATATCTAGCTTAAATTGTAAATATTTAATTAAATCAGTATTTTAAGCCATGTCCAGTAATGAGACGTTACTAGAAATGTTACTAGTTTTCAGCTGGCTATAAAGCACTGAAGCTGCCTCATTGTGCTATGGCCAATTTGACCTCATGGTGAAATATTAATGTGTCTTGGTTTTCCAGTGGATTTTACTGATATTTTGATGAGGTTTTCTTTTTTTTAAACACTTACATCTCAAAAGAAAGCTAAGTCTTGATTCTGAAAATTTGAATTTAGGGCAAACAATACTACTTTTATGTTTGTTACTATCTCTAAAATTGTCTGCTTCTACAGATTAAAGGAGGGGAAAACAGTGTCTTGTTCATGCTAAAGGGTAACTTTGTTTTTCTCTATTGGTAAGATCTTTCTAGATATGACATTTGGTTCAGGAGGACACACAAAAGCAATTCTTCAGAGGGAACCAGACATTACTATCTATGCCTTAGACCGAGACCCAACAGCTTATTCAATAGCTGAGCGGCTTTCAGAAGTGTATCCGTAAGTAATTTTCTATTTAATTTTGGTGCTGAGTTTTACCCAGTTTTGTTTATCTCCCAGAAATTTACTTCACTTTGAATGTTCTATTTTTTCCTTACTGGCTATTTCACTGTTCACACCCACCCCTGCAAAAGAAAGAATTAATGTAAACAACATTTACAATGCCACATAAAGTAATGATACCAATGCACATGTACTTTCTAAATCTGTGGAAATAAAATTAAAAACTGACTCTAGTATGTAAGTCTGAATATATGTTGAACTTTTCCACAAACAATATTTTGACAACATATTGTCAGGAAATCACTCTTGTTAGCTGTATTTAGTGATGTCTGCCTCTAGCATGTACTGCGCACCAGGGAGAGGCACGTTGATCTCAGTTTTGAGACTGGGAGCATAAGGCCTGCCTGGGCAAGACATCAAGACATCTTCTCAAAATATTACACAATGGAATACAATGCAATAATTCAGTAGTTACTTTCTGTAAATTTAGCTGAATAAAGTGTATGAGATTTTCAGAATGTCTATATCTCACAATAATGCACCAGCTTTCTCTGACTTTCCTGAGATTCACATACAAACAGTGATTTATCCTTTTGCCGGAACTAGTGAACTCTCACTCTGCCACCTTTAAAATAAAGTAGAATCACAGAGATGGTTCAGCAGGTAAGTGTGCGCGCCTCCAAGCCTGACTACCTGAGTTCAGTCCCTGAATCTCATTTGGTGGAAGGACAGAGCCAACTTCTGCACGTTGTCCACAGATCTCTGATCTCTCCATACATGCCATGAAATGCACACTCACATGTGCCTGCACATGTGGGCACACACATACCAGTCATTAAATATAAGAATAGTGTGAATCACATAGTAACACCTGTATCATATGGTATTTATAGTACTTTAGAAGAGCAAGTGTCTTGGAAATTAGGTAACTGTTTCCAGGTTTATGAACTATTTTCAGGCGTGAAGATTTTTATTCACTCACGCTTAGCACCTGGAATCAAGAAAACTGATGGGATTTGAGAGGAATTTGACTTTATGCGAACCCATTATTACTTATCACTATCTAACAATGAAATGGCATCTTTGGTGAAAGAGCATTGTATGGCCATGGGAAAGTTTATCCAGAGTCTAAGAATAGAAACATTCTGCATTCACATGGGGAGTATTTCCCACTGTTTCAGCAGATTTAACAAGGAAGATTCATGCGCTCAAGATATTCTCAGTAATGTCCATTTCTCTGAAATTCCATTACTAGCAGAAAGGCTTGATCTCATTTTCTCTTTTCTTCTAGAAATAACAAGAAAATGTGGTTCAACAACATGGTGCTTTTTTTTTTAATTTCTAAACGTTTCTTCTAGCCATAATGTAACACAGATGTATTTATTTTAATTAGAATTTCTTTTACCGAGCATAATATTTTTCACTCTGTAGATGTGGAAGCTACTACTTTTAGGCATATAAAAGTTTAAAAGAAATAATAAGCATCTAGCTGTTTTATTAAAAATATTCCAGTTAAACAAAAGAAAATAACGGAAATCATTTTTATTTGCATTTACTTGATTATTCCTTTGTGCATGCATGTACTGTGTCACACATGTAGAGGTCAGAGGACAACTTGTGGGAATTAGGTCTCTCATTTCAAAATGAGAGTCCATAGTCTCAAACTCAAGTACTATGGTTTGATGGCACTGAGCCATCTTGCTGGCCCAAGGAAATAATCTGAATATAAAATATAATTAGCAATGGACAAATGACAATTATTTTCTGTAAAGACAAGTATTACTTAAAACAATATACATGAATTTCACTTTTATATTTATAATTTCAAAAGGACTTACAAAACATCTTTATAAAATATTCATTCATCTTTTTTGCTGTAGTTATTTAACTGATAGTTAAAATCCCAAATTATAACCCAAATATGGCTCAGCAGTCAAAGCATGTGCTGGTCTTACAACGGGTCTATTTTCAGTTCTCAGAACCCATGTAGGGCAACTCATAACCACCTGTAACACAAGCTCCTGAGGACCCAATGTCTTCTGTATTCTGCTGATATCTGTACTCACACATGTACCTTATTCTCACCCCTAAACAGATATACGCGCGCGCGCGCGCGCGCACACGCACACGCGCACACACACACACACACACACAAATACACATACTTAGGAATAAAAAAACAACCGCTGATATGATAAAATAGCTACCTGTAAATTTAAAAATCATGTTAATTTCAATGCCTATTATAGGAAGTAGTATAAAAACTCCATTCATAAGAGTCCCTAAAAGTAAATAAAGTTATTACTAAAAGTGTTTCTCTTTCTGACAAAGTGTAACTTTATTCAATTCAGTACAAGACATGAATAAGTGGAAACATTTGTTTGGGGGTGGAAGAAATTACTATTTTTGAAACCCCCCCTTTTTTCCTGAAAAAAATTATTGATGTAATCCACCTCCAGAAAGCATCTTAATTTCATTTTAACTGATATTTTGCTTTTATTTGAGTGATGTGATATTTCATTTATAGTGGATACAAAGGACATCTTTTTGAATAAAAAACAGAGGAAACTTGTATTGCCAGATGTCAAATGATTCTGTAAAAAGATTGCACTGAATCAGTATGGCATCGTCGTGAGAATAGGTTGAGTGAGTTGTTAGAGATTCTGGAAACAGATTCCAGTAAATAAAACCATTTAAAGATAGATAAAATATTTATCCTTATTGATAAAGTGGTATATTATTAATAAGTAGAACTGATATGCTTTTCTGTAAAGCTTTAAAGACAAAAATGAATCTTTATTTTTATATGACATAAAAAGTGACTTCCAACAAGGGGAAATTTTTGATAAAAATGGTAATAAAGTTCCTAGAAGAAAACTGAGCCAATAATATAGTTAATTTAGAGGAATTTGCCTATTCAGTGTCATAATTGAGAAATCATATAAAATAAAACATGCTGGTTATTAAATGATATACTAATTTTTAAACAGTAAAATTGTGAACAAAATATAATTAATACAAAAGGATTAATGTAGTAATACAGAATGAGTTTTTAAAGACTGAAAAGACCACAAAATCCAGTTGTCAAAGTACACATTAAAATTCTTGTTAGATTTCGTCACAGAAGACTTTGAAAAGATGTTTCAAGTTAGTAGTGGTAATGAAGGTAATGAATTGTAATGGTGTACTATGGAGAGTGGAATTATAATGGAGCGTTTTTGAGTATAATTTTGCTAGTGAAGATATAGAAAACATATAATGATTTTAAAGGATATTTATAATAACCTTATAAATATATGCCTTTTTAAGAATGCAAGTTCTCTAAATAAAAGAGGTGAGACAGCATCAAGCAAGGCACCTCCTTAGGCTTAAACATTGTATATATATTGTCTGTATAGGTACTTATTGAGGACTTAGAGGCAGCAGGGTTTTAGAAGGGAACAACAATTAAAAAAAGCTATACTTTATGGCCAAATCCTTGCATATTCATGTAAATCATAATATATATATATATATATATAGTGTATATATATATATATACATACATACATACATACACACACACACATATATATATATATATATATATATATATTATTGTATCCATAGTCTAAAATGTTGGTGACACATGCCATTAATTTCAGCACTCAGGAGGTAGAGGCAGGCAGATATCTGTGAGTTCGAGGCCAGCCTGGTCTACAGAGTGAGTTCAAGGACAGGCTCCAAAAACAATACAGAGAAACTCTGTCCCAAGGGGATGGGGTGGGGAACTGAATGGAAATGGAAGTCATTTTGGGGAATACTGGATGTTTAATGGAATATTATCTTCCTAAAACAAGGAGCCACAGTTTGTGCTAGAGAACACAGTGGAATAGTATGAACATGTATTGAGAAAATAAAGATAATTATTTCTCTTCATGTATTTATGTTGCTGTCATTTTAAAACACTTCACACTTCTGATATTTTTCATATTATTTACCCTGTCAAAACTAAGTTAGAAACCAGCATTTTCTCTGAAAACTGAACAATTCAGGCAAATGCTGACTTTTCTGTTAACCAATTTTAGCTCTTTCAGAAAAGATGATTAGTTAGATTACATGCTGTTTGAAGACTGGAACTTTCTCCACTGCCTCTGAGGGAACACATTTAAATTAGAGCAGCAGGGCTCATAATTTAGTTTTAGCTTAATGGAAGATGGATGTTGAAGGCAATTGAAAAACATGTAGGATTCTTTCTGATAATTTGAGGAACAATATACATTTCATATATTACAGTCAGAAAATATAGAAATGTTGAAGAGAGAAACAAATTCTGATTTGATCATTGGCGTTTTTAAAGCATATTTTTAAAAGCTAAGCATTTTTTGTTGTTGTTTTTGTTTTCAATAATTTAAAAGGTTTCTTCTATAAGGGGAATTTATCTATATGGTGCAATATATTCATGTATGTATCATCCTTACATTAGATGTTTAACATTTATCTGCTCTTCTTGTTAAGCTACTACTACTTAAATTTTGTCAGATTTGCATATGAAGTAAAAAGAGGGGAAAGTCTTTAATTCATGGTTTCCAGTTGTTTCTTATACACTTTCTTATACACTTTCAACCAAATGACAGTGACTAGAAGTAATGTAGCTATATTCTCTGTCAAAAACAAAGCAGATGAGTCTGGTTCTGCATAGTAGCTTAAGTCATCATCTCCATGAAGCAGAAAAACTACAGTATCTAAAAAAATAAAAAACCAAAAAAAAAAAAAAAAAAAAACACTTTTTTGTTCACCCACTCCTGGGCTATAGTATGGTACTCGCTACATTCAGGGCAAGTTCTTCATCATTAATTAATACACTGTACCCAGAGATGTGCTTGACTAACTTAGATGATTCTCAGTACAATTAAGTTTTTAAGATTAGCCATTTTACATGTTAATATCTGCTAGACAATGGTAATTCCTAGTCTCCCATCTGTTCTGGATTCTTTCCAGTTTTTCTTCATTAACTT